TTGGCAGGAAGTGTATGGTTGCAGTTATTCAAAATTTTTGTTAGAGTATATTTATACGAAAATTGTGAATATGTGTAATTTGTTAGATTACCAGCCGGATATGCATAGTACATTAGTGTATTGGTAGTTTGTCCATATATTGATTTACATAAAAAGACAAACAAACCGGGTCAACCTGTGGGATTTTAGAAAATTATTAAGTAGCGTCAGCTACTTATTGTGATCGTTTTGTCCGTCCGTCCGTCTGTCCGTCCGTCCGTCCGTAAGCAGGATATCTCCAGAACGAGTCAACATAATCAAACCCCGTTTTCGACATTGTGTTTCTAATTTTTAGTTCTCGGTCGAGTTCGAAAATGGGGTCAATCGGACCACCCCCCACAGCGCCAGGGGGTGTGGTCCAAAATTAAATTCACGTTAATTTTCATATGGGGTATCATTTTAAAGGAAATTTCGCCAGGAATTCAACGACATCAATATTTTTGACCTTATGACCTTGACGACGAGGTCAGAGGTCAGAAAACACAATTTTCATATGGGGTGTCATTTTAGAGGAAATTCCACCGCGAATTCGAAAATGTAAATATTTTTGACCTTATGACCTTAAGGACGAGGTCAGAGGTCAAAGGATTCGTAATTGTCATATGGGGTGTCATTTTAAAAGAAATTTGACTGCGATTTTAAGGACGTTAATATTTTTGACCTCATGACCGTTAGGACGAGGTCATATACGGAAACGTTAAAGGAAACTTGAATCGGTCTGACGCTACTTATTTACATTCGTTTGGAGGGTTTATTTTGAATGCAATACGTATGTACTTGCCTAAGTTTTCAGACTTTGTCCTAAATACCTACAATTATTAAAAATACTGTTATTCTTTGGACAAATATTAAGTTACATATGTAAAATGATAAAAACTGGGTTACCTTACATGTTAACTTCGAAGCAGTAACTGGTGAAAGAATATGTTGAGTTATTGATCAGTTTGGGGTACACGGTTGCTGCATGTTTTTTTTCGTATATGTATAATCACCAAAAAATGTTACACCCTATTTAATTTAATCTTGGACCTGGTCAAAATTTCCAGTTAAATATGTGATATATTAAAATCTCTAAACTGGTGAAGGCATAAGATTCACAAACATATGCGCGTTCAGATTAAAAGTTACAATTTAAAAATAATAATTAGTTTCTAAGGTTGGGAAGGATTGAATATTGTGAAGTATGTATCTATTTATCTAATGGGGTCCAGTTACCCTGTATGTACATATGTACATGTGTTTTCTTTACTTGCAAACTAAAATTGAAGTAAAAAGGAAGGTACGATAGCTTTTGGAAAAACAAGAATTTATCAATGTATTATTATCATAATAGCGGATTAAATATTTCGACTATAAGCAGACTAGTTTATAATTCGGATTCATGCAGGGGTATATAATTCATTTAATTGCGTATACATTACATATGTTTACGAATACCCTGCCGAAGCTCAATGTTACACGTACACTTGTGTCTGCTTTTATTAGATATCTACACACATCTTACATATACATGTGTGTTGTATACATATTTGCTTTGCATTCTTTGGGCGGTGTGCGGAGGACTCCTACCCATGGACTCCTACCCCTGATCTACTACCCATTATCCCCTACCCGTGATGATTCCCTACCCATGAACCCCTATCCATTAACTCCTACCCGTAATTATCTCCTACCCTGATTATCTCCTACCCCCACCCGAAATTATTTTGGTCGTTGTTCTTTTATGTTCATATACATTAAGGGTTTATAATTGACTTATTTTTATTTTCCCGCAAATTATAAGTCATTTCGACAAATCAATTATAAGTGGGTGCTGTTTGAATGCATTCAAACAGCATTTTAAACAAGTGGAACATGCTCCACTTTTTTTAAATGATGTGTTGTATGCAGTTTAAGTGACTTGCATTAAACGTCCAAATTATTGCAAAAAGGAATATGGTAGCTTTGAAAAGATCTAAAACTTCAACAATAGATAATATCCCTGAATTCTTGCATAATTTATAATTACATGGCATTTGTGATGTAAATTGATTGCAAAGCTTATCTTCATTCTCATTTTTCCCCATTTAATTATTTCACTGGACTATTTTAATTAACCCAATTTTAACTATGCACTACTTTAAGTAACTTAAATATAGGATAAAACCCGATTAATAATTTATTGGTCACAAAGTGGCTAGCAATAACCTTGAGTGAGTTCAATTTCAACAAATGTCTCATTTCAGAAAGAAGTAAGTCGAGGAGACTTATTTTCCGATCACTTATAAGTGAAATATATAGCAACTGCGCCGGCGTGAGTTGTGTCACTTAAAAGTGGAAATTTCTTATAAGTGGTCGGTACACTTATAAGTGATCACTTTGTAAGCACCTATTATCATACACAAATTTGATATTTTTATCCAACAAAAAAAGGTCTTATTAAATTGTGACTGATGAGCCTAATTTTTTATATAATATTCTCTTCTTACAAGTTGTTAGTAATAAGTACGAATCATTCATCTAGATGTAATTTATTTAAATGATGCTACTTTTCATTTTTATTTTTTGAAACATAATTACGTTGGCCTCCAGGGGATATAAAGCATTTTTTGTTAAACGGGCGAAATTGAATTGCAATCACCGTGAAAATGAAAACCTCTCGAATCGAGATTTTCACAACTGCAAAATCGTCGCTTGTCTTTATTCGAACAAGTCGTGGCAGTGTTTCAAAACGGAAACATGTTACAAAACGACAAACAAGGTTTATATTTCGATGTATGAGGATGACAAAAAGTGGAATTCAAAAAACATTTCAGATCAACTCTCTTCATAGCCATCCACCAAATCTTGAAAGACATTAAAAAATTATTCAGCAATAACTCTTCCACGTCAAATCGTGGTGCTGCTCGGCTACTGCAAATTTCGAAACGCTTGTTCCGCAACATTAAAGTACATTAACTGGGGATTACAGAAAAAAATAAGCGAAGGTTCACAAAAAATTTTCAGAACCAAAACAGGAGAGTGCAAAAAAGTTGCAAAAAAACGTGTCGAGAATTGTCGTGAAATATTTTCATCAATGGTGACGATACCCACGTCGAACTGGATCCTTCAAAGATTTCGAAAAGCACATTTTACCACTCAGGAAACCTTGTGAGTGTAGATTAACAACAGAAGTTTTACATTATATCTACATTCCCTGCAAAATTCAAAGCAAGGTTTACATTGAGACAGATGGCCTTAAAACAGAAAACCCTCCAAATGTCCCCATTTGTGAGACATCGATAAGATTTTAGCCTTGTGCAAAAGAAGGTACTCCAACCTTCGCTTCAAGGCGAAAAAGCTGGAATAATTCGAACGATAATGCCAAAAAATCATCCAGGACATTTCATAAACGGGCTGAAAATTGATAATTTGGGGGCTGGTGCGGAAAGTCGGATTGGTGGCCAACAATGAAGTAAGAAAAATCCTTTGAAGCAAAAATAGACATGTCTGGTTCCTACCTACAATTTCCGACAAGCTTTATAAGTATCTACTAACAAGGTCGTAATGTGGAGGTCATTATGCGCGGAACCATTTATTCCTGGACACACCTTATTTAATTTAATTTAATGATAATCGATGTCCACAGCTTGAGTGCGAAGGTGAAAAAATGATGCTAAATACATACATAGGTCCATAGATCCGTTCCGAACTCTTCTTTTTATGTGAGCCATATTTACACACACGACAAGAGATATACCTTCCCATATTTCTAACAAAAGCTACATGGCTCATCGTGTGATGTTTACATATATGTAAAGCATCCGGTAGAGTCACGTATGTACTCCGCACTGATATTGATTTTGTAATAATTCCTAACCGGATTGGTTATAAGTTGATTCTGAGTGGTAACGATTTCATTACCACCACATTAGATACTACACCGTAACGATCGATATTACCAATTCCGGTAGAGTCATGTATGTACTCCGTCCGGTAATGATTCAATACCAGTTGCCTAAGAGAATACCCATCATTTTTGCGTACATACATACATATACACATATATGTATTGTCGCTGTTCGTACAAAAGGTGTCGGTTGAGAAAGCAGTCGGAAACAGAGGTCGTCAGGTGAAAATGGGGCAAAAACGTGACACCATGTATGTATCATATTCCCCAAAAATTCATCAGACAACCTCTCCTGTTTCTGACTTGTTTCACAACCAATATTTTTTGCATGAAGAGCGACGATATACAACCTGACAAAGGAAAGGTTATTTCATAATGTTCTTTTTTCTTCATAATAACCCCAGACACATAAACGAAAGATAAGCCCCAAACGTGTGACCAGATAAACACGCTTACATTGATCACGAGCAGAGGAGCTGAATCCTGGCTTGTTTTAGGGGAATGAAGAACAATAAAGTGATTTGTATAACGTATCGCAATAATTTTGAGGACAGGGTTGCGCAAACGGTGTTTTTATACATGTATTTCTTGCTTTTATGTGTATCTCACTCAAAATTGTATAAATCATTTGTTGTATTTTTTTGTGTGTTTGCATATGTTTTTGGTACACCTGTTTTTTAGCTTTTGTGTGAATCCATACATATATCGCCACATTAAATTTGAACCACATGTACAATTGCATATTTGACAATGTCAAATTGACATTTTGACACATAAAACATGCACAATTTAATGCACAATAATCTGCATAATCCATTTACATAATTGCTTATCTTCATATATATTTAATTCGTATAGTTTTCCTCACATTGTTCAATTCAACTTTCATGCCTAAATTAAAAACATACGGTCCATTAAACTGGACTCTGGGCTGGCGCAAATAAACATGTAGCATGTAGATAAAGGTAAATGTTCCCAAGTGGAAGAATTATTTGATAAACTTGTCGTATGACGTAGCTTATGGCTTTTATGTATTTGTTCCTCGTGCACAGATAAGAAGTACGCCTCATGACTTATGAACTTTATGCCACGTGCACAGAGAACTGGACGGTATTTAAGCCGTCAGTTTTCCTTAATTTGTGGCAGTATTTAATTGGTTGGTGTACTAATCTAACGTGGCTCAAATTACTTAATTAAATTCGTTAAGATGGAAGGTAAGCCGTTTATCGTAAATTATTTACCCTAGCTTCAAGCTTTCAGAGTTCAATAACTGAACTTAAATTAAAATAAACATTTCTAATATTCTTACCATTTTTTATTACAAGTATTAAATAACTTTATATTTTTTTCTAACAGGCCCAGCTTACGAGATGCTCAGCTTAATTGGGGCCACATTCAGTGATCCTGACACTCCAGGTTTCGATAAGGTGGTCGACAGCCTTTCCGACGCCAAGTTAATCCATGCAACCGCACCAACGGTAAACGACCTGACTTATGCCCTTCAAGAAATGGCGCTCTTGAAAGATTCCAATTTGACCTCGTTATCAAAATCCGGTTTAACCATCACTTCCAACGATACCGCCGAGTATCGAAAATGTGTCCTTTACTCCAGTAAATCGGACCTTGTCGACACCCTCGATAAAATATCTCCTCCCATGACCCCGATTCCATCCAAGCCGCCAAAACTATGCTACCTCGTGACCTGCCAGGGCACCCACTTTCCCACAATGGGCCGCCAAGTATACCACGCCAGTACCGTTTTTCGCCATCATTTCGATTTTTGTGCCGCTCTGGTAAAATCTGAATACGCCATCGACATCAAGGCCTTCCTTCTGGAGGAAGTTGACGAAAATGTCGTCCCGGACTGGATGAAGTCGCCGGTCAACTTTCTCCCCTACCTGCTCGCCCTGCAGTTCGCCCTCTTCAAACTTTGGGAATCATGGGGGATTAAACCCGATTATGTTCTTGGTCTAAGTTTTGGCGAATACGGCGCTGCCGCAATGGCAGGAATGATCACGATTGAAGAGTCGTTTCGCCTCGTCATGACGCGTGTGTGACTAATGACTGATCACATTCAAGAGCAAGCCTTCTGCGTGGGAATGATGGATAAAAAGAGATTTGAGGAAATTGTCGCTGAGGCGAGGAAGGATGAAGGAATGGAAGATATTTGGTTTGAAATTGCTGCCATTAATTCCCCAAAGCAGACATGTGTCGTCAGCAATGAGAAGTATATCGATAAGTTGGTCGGTGAGTGGGAAAAAATCAATTTACATTTTAATATTGAAACACAATGCGACACGTGCGCCAAACGCTAAATACATACATTGAATGTGAACACGCATAAAGTTTCTATTTAAAATGAACTCATGATTTTCTGTAAATTTTGAAGTTTTGCTGAATTTCAAACTTTTTTGTGAAAAGTTTAGAAGTTTGGATATTAATAGTTAATAGCCGAAAATTATACCAGTAATGGTTTCAGACGCGATAAATTGTGTATTGCTTTTAACGAATTTTGTTTAAATTTCAGAAACCTGTAAAAAGCATGGCATTAAGACCATCAAGAATCCCTACCATCCATACCACTCCTCTCTCACAATGCCAATTATACCAGAATTTGGCGAAACCACATCCGCTATCAATTACCAACCCGCCAAATGCAAATATATCTCCACCGTTAACGGAAAAATGTGGGACAAACTGGACAAACAGTATTTTCTCGACCACTTGACGGGAACAGCGGAATTTATTTTGGCCGTTGAAACCGCTGTGGCGGAGGAGATCACTCATTTCATGGAAATAGGACCACACCCCATCCAGATTCAAATGGTGAAGGACATCCTGTCCAACAACGACCCACAAACGAGCAGTAAATACAGTTTCTACACTTCCCTAAAAAAGAAGGTGGGTGACAGGGTCGCATTGCTGAATAGTTTGGGTCGCTTGTATTCCGCCGGATATGAAGTTGATTGGGAGGAAGTAGAAAAATTTCAATCCCAAAATCTTAGTATTTAACGATGTTTATTAATTAAGCAGACATTTCTTTGGTATACTCATTGTGTAGCTGTATGTTTATTAATTGTATGCTCAGCCAGAGTAGGCGTTATTATACATATAGCATTTTACATGATTATCATAAAAGCTAAACGAACATAGATAATCTTTAAAAGAAAACAATAAACGATTTTTAAAGTTAACTTCTAAATACCGTGCATAACTTCTGCCTGTCTACTGGTTTATCCATATCAATTTAATTGATTCAATTATGATCAGGTTACAATTTAAAAAAATACCCTATCAATATCAGACGACGGATATCACACGATCAAATATATCTTAGGAAATTCGTTCGTTCTCGATCTCATTTCTAACAAAGCTACATTTCTTATCGTGTGGACGGATATGTACATACATATGAATTTATCACTTTTTCATATCGCATTCTAGGTATTGTCCATAAAATTGATAATTTATAATTTAAAAATTTATGTTTATTTAAGTGTATAATTTATTAGTGAGAAACCAATTTCAAATATTTTATAACTCTGTGACGAAGATTTCGGACTACTTATTATTTAATAGCCACAACTTTGTCATGCAAAATTTGGCCTGCAAAAGTCATAAAATTTGTGCACAATCCCGTAAAATCAAAAGTCAAAATGCCCCGTGGATAATTGTGGTAAATCTTTCCATACAAAATTGCAGCTGCTTGTTGAGTAAACATCGGGTTGAGAATTTATATCCGTTTTTTGTTAAAAAATAATGTTTTAACTGTTGTTACTTTAATTGTTTGTCGCATTTGCATATTTATTTAAATCCTCTACAAGCTGCCAACATCTCCAAACTCCTTTGAAGTCAATTTAATACTAAATAACTTACATATTACGAACATTAAGTACAGCAATTAAAGTTTGAAGTGCTACTCATTTTCCATTAGCAATAATGGGACTACCTCCTAGTGCGTGTCACGTCAATTTTGAAATACTTTTTAACAGCTTTATTAAGTACTTAATTAATCCGTTTTCTTTCCAGAACGCCACGGTGAACGTTCTAGTCTCCGGCTCGCCGGCATAAAACGTCGATTGTTTGGAACCAGTCCAGCCGATTCTTCGGAAAAATCCAGGCACGAGGAGGAAGTTACTATTACTAAGGGCAAGATGCCTATTAAAAGGTCAGGGGACACTACTGGCACCGCGCCGACAAAAAATGAGATCGCGACGCCATCGATGTCAAAGAAATCCAAGATAAATAATGAAGAGGAACAAGTTGGTAAGAAAAAAGCGACTCTAACTTCGATTTTTCTGGTGGAAATTGTATTTTTATCTAGAAATTTATATATATTTACAGGAAAAATCGTGTCGCCGCCGACGCCACCACCAACACCACTTATTCGCCGCGATGTGGGGGATTTACTCAACTGTAAAATCTGTGGAAACGAACCCACGTCGCCCATCTGTTGTTGTGCTAATGGTCACATCATTTGCGGAACGTGTGTCGACGATCCGGTGAAAAAGTGTGGCATTTGTCAGATGGATTTGCAATTGTCCAACTTTGCGGAACTACTTTCTCGACAAGTTTGTTAAATAAAATAAGTAGTTTAATTTCCCCTATAAGTACCTAAATTAATTTTGCTAATTTTAATTTTTACAGTTCGACTTGAAATTGGCGTGTAAATACCAGAAATCAGGCTGCAAGGAAGTAATTGCTGCTACAGAAATGAAAATTCATCTGCAAAATTGCTACTATCGGTTTGTTTAATATCATTAAAAACATTTAATTTTGTAAAATAAATGAAATAATTAATCTACGTAATAATTTAGGGACATAACCTGCACCGAGACGAAGACGGGACCTTGTGAAAAGATGAAGATGCCAATGTACGAGTACGCCGGTCATTTAAGTGAACGCCACCAGTGTCTTAGCGGGTCACCGAGACGTTTCGTGTTGACATTGGAGGATGAAAACATGCTTCGTAATTAAATTGCTTGTTTAATTACACAATTACTTAATTGAATGGATAATTAATCCTTCATTTTTATAAATTTACTTAGGTGGCACGTCGCCCGATCCCCAAAGTCGCGCCTGGCCAATCGGAATTATGAAGCAGGATGGAAATACGTTCCTTCTGCTCAGCCAGATTCACGTGGATGCATCAATCTTCGTCTGGATGACTCTTTTGGGCAGTGCAGAGACCGCGGAGAAGTTAACGTTTACGTTCAAATTGTACAGGACGATGGACAATGGGAAGAAGGTAAAACTAGTAAATTTACAATTTAATACCGAATTAAAAAAATATTCATCATGTTTTAGATCAGAGCGTCTTGGACGATGCCGGTCATTGCGTATCACGATCGACCCAAATTCGTGGAAGGTTTACCCTGCTATGTAAACATCTCGGGTAAAATGCTGCTGGAATTTTGCACTCGAGTCGAATTGCAGGACGTGCCGAAGTTACAGTTTGACTCGGCATGCCGAATTTTTTAAAAGGATGCACTTGCAAAACGGACAATAATTATGCATGAGGTTTGTTAATAATGAACATGCATAATTTATATATTTAAACGGTCAGGAACATAGTAGACAGTGTGTTAATTACTATTTTCCTATTTTATTTTTAGATCGTGACGCGGAGCAGGACGTTTTTTAGTTTGAATCGCCAAATTTTAAGTAACATTAGAGTAAAAATGTTTGCGCTTTTTCTATTTAAATATATAATGCAATATGTATTAAGCATGCGCATCCTCCAATAAATTAAACCAAGTGCAATGCGTATGATAAGATAAATGAAATAAATAGTGCATGTACGCATCAGAATTCAGAATTTTAGAGAGGTGTTTATTCATTTCTATTTTTACATCCAACTCTAAGTGAGTTGATCCTCAAAGTGTGTAGCGTGGTCAGGATTCGGAAGATTTAAGGAGTTTTCTACAAAAACCTTACCCCGTGGGGTTTTCTTTCTTTTTTATGCATTTTTATCAAAACCTTATGAAAACGATGATAACATGGTAAAAAACCAACATCAAACATGCTGTATAGGTTTGTTCGATTTGAAACCACCATGTATGCAAAATTAGATAGTTTCGTGTAAAAAATCTTATATTCAGGTAATCCATAAAAACGTTCTTTCTTTTAATAACAACGTGACAGATTTTATTAATAAATATGTAAAAACAAGTCCATACATATAAACAATTAATTTCAAGCAAAACAATAGGCTTGACAATTATTGTCAAATAGAAAAAAATAAGTATTCAACAATTCAAACTTGTACTTTACAAGGTAACAAATCAAATCATATATTTCACAAAGTCAAAAAAGAATCCAGTCCAGTCCGTTCAGAATCCGAGTCGTCGTTAATATGTTTAAAATTACATTCTTTGGCAGGTCGGCAGATGACTTTCCCAATTCAATTTCTGACACACCTTCCCACAGTACAAGACTCCCTTGCAGCGTCCACAATGTTTCAACTTGCAAGCCTTATCAGTGTAGATAAGTCCCGCCCCATTGTCAACCGGAAGGGAGGAAAGTTGTTTGGGATGAATCTCGTCAATTCGTCCACAGTAGGCGCAGAGTCGTTTCTTCAAGTGCTCAACGAGCAGACTTTTCAAAACAGGGATGAAACCGTCCGCACCAGTCGCCTCCAGTGGAGCGTCGTCATACTAATAAATAAACAAGTAAATTCTTAAGAAGATTTCACATGATGCTACTTTCCAGTAGCCGCGGAAGCTGGTGGGGACCCGGACATTAACTTGGTAGGATGATGGGACATCAAATAACCGTGGGGGCATTGTCCCAAAACTTCCGCGGCCACTGTTAATTTCCATCATTAATTAGCCCACCTGAGAAACCACAAGTCCTGGAAACTTTTCCTTATAATCGTCCACCCTCCCGTGAACGATAAGACCCCCATTTGCTCCTTTGTAACCGAACTGTCTTCCCGTCGGATCTACGATGTAAACCGTCCCATCCTTCAGTTTCGTGGAGAGCACGACGTGTCGAATGACCAAACGGGCCTGTCCAGCCTCCTCTATTAGAGTTGTCATAACTTTGCGCATGTCAAACCGGATAAATTCGGAGTCAGGGTGGTCGCCCGGCTGGGCGCCAAAATATGTTGCTGGACCCTCCACATCGCGGGAAATTTTCTGAATAATGGTGAACAAATGGGAGGGGACTACTTCGAAAATTGTGGGTCGGAGGGATGACAGAGGGACCTGTGACATCACAAAACAATGGAAAAAGTTAAGAATTTGTAAAAAAAAACAGATAATTAAATAAATTACTAACCTTTTCGCCCGTGGGAAGAATCCAATTCTTGACACCGATTTCTTGCAAGGACGACACACTAGCTAAAATGCCTGCCACGAAAGCGCTCGTTTTCCCAAGAAAGGTTAGCCCCCAGTAAAATTCAGCCTTTTGTTCGTTGTTCTTGAGTGAAATCATCGATACAAATGGTTCGACGCCTTGTCGCATCATCACCCTATACAGTTGGTCAGTCAGCTTGTAGCGTTCGAGGAAAAGGGGAAAGTTTCTAGTCTCGAACAACAAGTTTACACCGTCTGGGGGAGGGCTCAGCGGGAGAAGTGCGTTGCACGAAGAACCGACCCGAAACGTGTCGTTGGTCCAAATTCGACTTGCTTTAAACGGCCTGGAAAAACATGCAAAAGGTAAGTTAGGTAATGCAAAGTGGAACGAGTTCAAAAACATGGTTCTCGATTATACCGATTTTTTTCAAATTATATAAAAACCGGTTATGAAAATTTTAGAACGCTGGCTTTAGATTGTTTTTATAACAAGTTTTAGACCGTTATTCTAAAACCGAGTTTACTCCAAATATAAGGTAGCCTAAAAATTAGGAAATTCCACAACAATTAATTCTTATAAGAATTATTCCACCGATTATACTTACACTAATTTAATTTGAACTCAATTATGTAGTAAATACTCACTCGTACAAAGATTCCGCAAGGGAGGAAGGATCCATCATTTTACTAATTCCTCCGGACGAATATGAAACGTCGACCAAGATTTCACTCTTTTTTTGAAAAACGGTCAGGTCTTCCTCCACCTTAATAACGGATGGCATATGTTGGACAGCTTGAAGGGCGCCAATGGAAAGAAGAGTGTACTTAATAAGGTCCAAATCCTCATTAATGGAGTCGACCTCCATCTTCTCGGAGGATCCTTCTGTCGCCATGTCGTCTGAATTCAAAAACGAACTAATCAAGCTATAAAAGTTCGCAAATCAAGTAAAAGTAGAGGTCTCCCAGCATATTTCACAGATTTTGACCAAATTCGTGTCAATCGATCACAAATTAATTTAACTGCTGCAAACCACACAATCTGACAATGCTCATTTTTGGCAGAGATATTTGCATCCAAAGAGGAGAAAGTGCGTAATAAGCTGACAAATACAAAATATTACTCGTTTCAAATTTGTTGTGTTTTCTCCCCTTCGGGTGTAAATATCTCGGTCAAATTTGAGCATTGGCTCCGCCAATTTGGCGGATGACCTGATTTCCAAATTTTATATTAATTAGATTCGTGATCGATTGACATTAATGATTAATCTTGTCAACATTAGAAAGCATACGCTGGGAGACCTCCATTATAAGTAAGAAGGGTTAAAACTTAAAAGAGCATTGCTCAACTTATCACAGTGGCTGCAGAAGTTGGAGGGACATTAGTATTGTGAGATACGAAGGTGACGGGCTTATTAACATACGCAAGATATGATTTTAAATTAAAATTTTTAATGAATTTATGTAAGTATAATGTCCCCCTGCTTCCGCCGTCACTGACTTATCACTTGATGTGCTTAAATAAATGATACTGTTGTGTGTTGAAAATTGGAAATATTTATGAGCAGCTCACCTTTTAAAAAATTGGTCCCGTCTTGTTAAATAATAGATTTTTGAAAATCTAATTAATCTTCAATCTTCAAATCCAAACAAAGAACAAAATTGAGATGACTGAAACCTCCCACATACAAGAACAGCGGTGAGTCTGGTAGACTGGACTTTTTACGGTCTTTGAAGGCCGGGGTATTTTGAGAATTTTTACTTCAAATTGATGCTTGAAATTACATGAAACTTGCATGCAAATTTACATTTAGTTAGAAATAATTAGTGCGAATAATAATACATTTCTGATATGTACATTTATAATAAAAACATTTAATTACGCCGTTCCATCTTTATTTGTACATCCATTCTCACTTAGGAAATCCATTATCATTATAAATTTGCTTGAGACAAAAGGCCGATAATTTGGGGGTCCGTTGTCTCCTTGGGTCGCTAAAGTTGACCGCCACCACGCCAAAAGAGACAGTATATCCTAACTTCTGCGTATAAAAATTAAGCATATATTTTTTTAAAATGTGTGTAAATTAAAAAGGAGGCGATTCACGTCAGCCTTCGTACGTCCGTAACCACCCAAACTTACTTTTGACGAAACTTTTGACTTTGAGGAACGCAATTTTTGCTTACAAACTTAGAAAACTTGACGAAGTAAAAAGCATGCTTTTGGTTCGTAAACTTATCTTCGTAAGTTTACGTGATTACGGACTTACGACGGCTTATGTATGTACATACGTGAAATGTCTCGATATTTACAATCCATCAAACACTTTACCCATTCAAACGCATCGAGAAGCGTCCAAGCCGTGTACATGCGCACATTGACGCCATCGATGCTCACAGATTTTAGCATCTCGTTGATGTAATCTCTGTAAAATTTCACCCTGTCGTAATCTCGAAGATCGGCACCCATGGGCTCTGCGTATCCATTTTCCGTCACGTAAATCTCTGGATTTCCATACTTTTCTTTAATCCAGCCCAGGTGCTTTCTTAGACCCCAGGGAACGACATTGTTTTCCGGTAACGTTGTATTAGGCCAGGTTTCATGGGTGGAAAACTTTATCCCAAACAAGCCTGATAGTCCTTCATCGTCATTTGCGGTTGACGTTGATTCAATAAGGAACGTACCGTACTGATTAAGCCCCCAAAAATCCCAGGTTCCTATAAATTAGTAGAACAGGTAGCTCATGGATTTTGACCAATTGTGCAGAGTTGACAAATATGCATACGACTATCAAAATACATTTGAATAAACGCATGTAACCACAAGGTGGAAAATGTGGGTCATACATACGGGCAACGGTATAAGATGGATAGCGTGCTACTTTTGCCCATTGTAAATCTGTTAAATTTGACACGTCTGACATGTTTTCGATATTTACGACCTTTGAACTTTGCTAAACATGGGGATTACTATTAACACAATAAATACTATTGAATTGAGAATGGAAAAAAATTATAAGAAGTTTTTGACCAATTTAATTTGTACATACACATCAGTGTTTCGTTTCTTGCAAAGCAAGATGTAAAAAAAACTGCAAAAAAGTGCAAGAAATATGCACCATCTAGCCACGCGCCCTATTAACTATAGATTGGAATTTTCGCCTTAGGTTTCATGCAGGTTAAAATGTCTGCAAGAAACCACTTTCTTGCTTATTTCTTGCAATTGGTTGCATACTTCAACTGACGCACATCAACATGCCGTGATTTTTGTAAAATTATTCTGCCCGGTGCGTCAAATTTAGCAATTGTGGACTACATAAATAGTCTTTATAAAGTATTGAGCCAACTTTTCACCGTTAACGGGTGGCATCCGCAGTTGAAACACTTAAAACATTAAAAAATTATGATTGAGCTAAAATAATTTATGTGCCTCTTATCTCTGCAGATTCAGCTAAGGTGAATTCCAACGGTGGTGACGACAGGCCAAGTTTTTTGTTAAGTGTGTAAATCGCCTCGTTATATCCAGCCGGATACTTTCCGAATACAATTGGGTGAGCAAAGGAACCCCACTCAAAACAAAAAAAGTACACTTCTTAAGGATGATTTTTAAAAATAGATGTTCTCCAATTTTCAAAATATTTCAAAAAATTACCTGAATTTGAAGAGCAGTTTCAGCAAGTATCTTGTGATTGTGGTTCCTTGAATCCCTTGACTCGACCCAATACGAAATCAATCCCATTCCTATCTTCCCGCCTTGAATGGGACGAAAAACCTTGTCGTAGAGGCGATAGGTCCTTGCGTGAGCTTTAATCACGTTATGAACACAGTGTTTGGTTTCTTCTACGTTTCCGTGCCCTGGTGCATATGCCTAAAAAAATATTTTTTTCTACTGATACTACGATGACAAATGAGCTGGCCAAATTACTTGGAAGTCAAATTACAATTACTTCTCTAAAACAAATTAGCTTCAATTACAATTACAAATTACGTAATTGAATTACATCACAAATTACCAATTACATAGTTCAATTACAAATTACAATTACAATTACATTTTTTGAATGAAGTAATTGAAATTACAAATTGTAATTGTCAATTACTAATTTGGCCAGGTCTGGAAATGCGTCATGGGCGATGTTCGCCGTGAAAGAAAAAACCCTGCAAGAAACTACTGCAATAAATGATTTGCAGACATGTTTTATGCACGAAAATAGGCGTCATATAGCGAACAATGCCTACAGAGGGTGTCCGCAGTTTATATGAACAGTATGAATTACCTTATAGTGGTAACTTCTGAACACGATGACTGTGAATTACTTTAGCGATCTCAATGTGTTCTCCATTCTTCCTAGCAACAAGTCTGAGGAGTCCTGAGTCTTGGTTTCCAACTTCCAAACACATTTTGACACGTTTCAGGGGAGACAAGATCCCATTCTTGATTTAGAACTTTCCAAATCCCAACCAAAGTTCATGACTTCCTCTTGAAAATGCTTTGTTTCAGGCATCCAAACCCGAAAAAATCCATCTGACCCATGCCAGATTACTGAATATGGACCTCGGAATAAGAGGTCATTCCGATTTTTTGTTTAAATCTTGGGCGTCATAATAGGTAAACTCCGCAATATATAAAAATGTTGTGTTGTGACGACTGCAAACTTTGCCGAGCTCCACAAAGGTACTTTTATGGAATTTCGAAATCCAAAAACTAATGTAGAACATTGTCCATGAAGTACATCGACTTTATTTTCACATTATACCAGACAGGTATCAATGCTAGCACTCCACGGACCGGCATTGCACAAACCACGAAGAATCAGTCAGATAACTTTTCCATCTTCTCAGACCCATAGTTTGAAACCTGCTTCCGGTCCTTAATGCACTAAATTATTTTTATCCAGTTGCAGTTTTGAATGTGGCAGAGTGCCCCCTCCAACGTGACGACAAATTCGGAATTTCTACTCCCAACATGACCTTCAAACAGCCTCCAACTGTTAGTTTTTTGTTTACAACATTGGATAATTTTAGTGTTCCGAATTTCGCCTTCCTAAGGACTGCTTTTTTAAAGTTGTGATTTATAATACGATTAACGTGTTCAAGAGGCATCTGGGATTGTGTTGTGACCTTTGTTTGGTCGGAGGATTCTCATTGAGAGGGAGGCAGTCAGTTTGCTTGAGGGTGGGAGAATTCGTCGTTTTGAGGGGTATGCATTTTTAGATACGCATTGGTCGGATTTAACTAATTACCATCGTTTTCTTGCAAAATTGATGAAGGGATATATGGGGAACACGATAATATGGGTTTCAGATTTTTGGATAATCGTTTGGGCACTCTCCGCGGCCAAATTAACTTCGGAAACAGGTTTTACGATTCCCCCACTTTGGGGTCACTTTTTGGGGCCACCTTTGAAGATAGAAATTTGAAACTTTGCAAAAGTGTTGTCATGACCTTCGAGTCCGTGCTTGCCAAATTTGGCGCCAATTGGATCATCCGTTCGCATGTTACCCGTGTAAGTCTAGTGTTCATATAATCTACGGACATCCCGATGGGTAGTATCTTAGCATTGGTAAATACAAAATGCGTAAGAGATAGTGTTAGTGAGGGCTCTAGCGACGAATAATTAACCACCACTATATGAAGATGCAGAAAGAGATGCTCCACCTCACATAACAGATGGAGTAGGAGTTAACTCTGCGAGTTTGCCATTTAGTTTAACATTGAGGGCTTCTGGCGACCTCTCGTATGTGAGGTGGAGAGTCATCCCCCTTACTTGCTTAACAAAGAGCAGAGTGCTTCTTCTATTTCTTACTATTCTATGGGACATCCTGTATAATTGAATTGAAGTTTTATTATACTGGCTTATTAGTACAAGAAATACAAAAACTTATGCTTAACACTAGAGAAGGGGACTCTAAATTAAACATTTAGACAAATTAAAGTAACTTACTTGCCTAGTTTCGTCAGTTTACATCCTCTCTAAGCCAATACTTATACAATCAAATTATAATTTAGCAAGATGAACAAACAAAACCATCTCGCAGCTCAAAGGAACGCGACAAAGTTGGTTGCATACCAAGACTGGCTGAGTTTGTAAATTTAGATACAATTACGATTTCAAATCATTACCCAATTATAATTTATATCAACTTACATTTTACTTAATTACTTAAATTATATTTGTTGGAAAAATTGCACCAAAAAACCAACTTAATTTTGACATACAAACCAATTTTGATTCCCCAACCAACCGAGTGGATACAGGCAGAAGCCAGGTGGTAATTCTGATCGTAAAAATACATAAAAATACGATTTAAAAATACAATTTTTGACTGAAATGGTTGTTCAGTTTGATAATGAGGGATTTTCACACATTGCCAATTAAATTTGAAGTTATTACCAATTAGAATTAATTAAAATTAGATTAAAAATAAATAAATTTAGAGGAGCTCGTGCAAGAGCAAATCCTCCTCGGTTGGCGCGCTGACGGGGAATGTACGTGGGGAATGAACATGATTGCACTGTAATAGCGACACGGAATAGAGGAGTCGTCAAGGTCGTTTGAGGCCACAACATCCATCAATACCCCGTCATCTTCTTCCGTAAGTGTAAAGTTCATGAGCTCTGCTGTTACGTCTGCCCCCCATTCGCGTGAACCATTTGCAGGACACACATGATCAAGTTTAAATGCCACTGCTGAGTTAAACCAGAGGAAGTGTTCCACAAAAGCATTTTCCATATTTCGCAAGACAAAGTGTTAAACTTGGGTTCTGGTGGGTATCCACCACCATCGCGCGGATTCGTGCGTCAGTGCCGTATCCGTCGCACTTTGTCAACCTCACTCAATCATGCGTCTCATTTAATTAACTATACTGGGTTACTTAAATGTAGGCTTATCAAAATACAAAAAAATGATGTGTTGATATATCACTAGCCCTCGTTAGTTACGGCACTTGCCGTATAAGTCCCTCCCTCAGAAACTTTGACCCCAAATTTCTCATGGTACCAGCGTTTCCCTTCGGGCAACAAAAGCTGAAAATGTAGCTGTTCCCAAGGAGAAAAATCTGGCATCGGGTTGTCCGAAGTAAATGGCTGGTACCATTCGGTTTTTAAGGATTTCTGTGTATGTAAAAAAACCGCCAATTTTCGAATTTTGAAACTCTTGATGCATTAAAATGTTCATATTCCAAGGGGAAGTCAAATTGCAAATGCAAGTATAGGTCTAACTCTTGTTCTACACGATGTACATTGACTTTCTCATTTTTCCGAACTTTCTTCCTTTATTTTTATAGGGGGTGTGGTTGCACAGAATTCAAAAAATGTTGTGGTACATTTGTCCTTGTACCCACAATTGCATTTACAATTAATTTTATTTGATTCAGTGAAATCGATGCGAAAAGCGATGGAACGTATCCGTCATCCTCTCTCTGCTTGACATGGAAGTCTATCAACGAGTGTACGTGGCATTGGAAATAACTCCCAAGTGGTCGAATGTAGTTGAACATCTCCAACATCGACAAGAAAAATATTGTAAAGCTGTTTCGCTTGGTCGACATGCGTTATCAAACCTCGAATCCACCGCTCTGTAATTCGATCTTTAACGGCAACCATTAAACCGCTTTGGTACCAGGTTTTGAATTGCTTGTTGTATTGAGAGCATCGGCCAGAAATGTGTCCCTTAATACAAGCGTCCAATTCTGTATTCACAGCATCCAGTAGCTTTTCAAATTTTGTTTGTGTTGCAAATATGCAGTATGGATTTCTTGTAAATGTCGACCACATGGCAAAACTCTTGGGGTTTTCTGGGGTACTCGTAGGAACGAACGCCCACTCGAATTTCTCACCATAACCAAAGAATTGAGACATGTACACAACATCTTTAATTGGACTGTTCTCCAAAGCTTCCAACTCTGGGCAAGTAAATCCTGTGTCACGACCAAGTTTGAACAGTTTGATCATATGTGTGTCGTTCTCTTTTGCGCATCTAATTCGAATCAAGTCCAATCGGACACTGGATTGAGTTTGGACATCTGCGTAATCTTTTTGCACATCAACCAAAGGATTCACCCAGACAGTATCAACCATTGAAAACAAAACCCTGCCAAGAAGAATTCGATCTACAGTTGCGTCTACAGCTCTTGAAATCTCAGCTCCACTGTAACTGACACCTGATTCGAGAGATTGGAGATTAGCAAGTACCAGTTCCACAGAAAGCTGTGGTATGTTTCTAAATTCCTGTGGCATCAGGTACACCTTCTCTGGATGTAGTATCCCAAAGAATCCAGAGTCGATACACAGAACCCGCAAACTTTTTGGATACTGGGGTTCAGTGCGAGTCAAGATTTGAAGAATTTTTGCTCGAAAAATTCCGTCATAATTCTCAATGACGCACAGTGTTCCAGGCTCATAAGTTTCTGGTGGAATTTTTGTATCATCATTCTGAAAATATGCTTGCAATTTTTCCGACATGATTTTAAAATCGTTGATCCACGAACACTTTAAAATTCGTTTTCCATTACGGTGCTCAAAGCAGCGCAAAACTTGGGCAGAATAATGGGATGGATTTATGCATTCTGGGCTTCTGTTCCAAATCTTTGAGCAAAAATATATGCCTATCTTTGCAGTCATTGTCTAAACAATTTCCAAAAAGTTTAACTCTCTGACAAAGTGGAAGTTCTGCGACTGCCTGCTGTTCCATTCGACAAGCAATCGTGGTAAGCGTTCCAGGAATTTGTTGAAGTAAATCTCTTCCAAACTTGTGAAGCCTGTATAAATACTTTTCTTCTCCAGTGAGCAAAAAGTGAGCTTCCAAATCCTTTCTCAAGTATTTTGTCTGTGGACAGGCCTTTTCCATTGCAATGTCCCGATAATTATTCCACATGCAAGTAAATCTTTCGGCACCTTCTGAGGAAATCCTGGAGATAGGATTTTTTGGTAAATTGTAGTGAATAAGGCATGTGACGTTCCGAATATTTAGACGCGACAAAGCAGAATCGTTGAGCACCATAATTTGGCGATCAGTGGCTGGACCACTTGTCCATTCGCGTAACAAGTCATTTAAAAGATCTACCCTCATTGAATCAGTGTCTGCTAGAAGGGCATAAATTCCATTCTCCGCAAGGTGTGAATGTATCCAACTGGCAAAATCAGCAGTACTGCTGACAATAAAGATCGTCTTGTGTTTAACCAGCTCTACGCTTCTCAATAGTTCCAATAGCTTTTCGATTCTCTCTTTGCCGGGATTCGTATGATGGAAATACCACTTGACTTCCCCATATTTGATTAGCTGGTTGTGGGAATTGATGAAGAGGGTAGGTGCCCAACGGTCACCTACTGCAGGACCACAAAGCCGCTGCGTGGACATGTACAATTGTTCAACTTGCTGATTCCACTTCCGTCCGGTGAAAATCCGTTGATAAAAATAAACGTTGGAACGTGCTATTTGGAATATGGTTTCTCGGAGGGTATCAAACTCCTCTCGGAAATACTCCATCAGAACATCAAGGTCTTCATATACCAAGTACCTTAATTTGTCAAATCCAATAAAAGTTGAAGATTTCTGCACCAGATTGCACATTAGGGAACACGTTGAGACAACTATACTTAGGTCTGGTTTAAATTTTGATAGGTCCTTCATATCAGAAATGACATCATATGACAAGTGGCGCTGGTTGATGGCACACAATAATCCGTGCAAAGTCCCTTTCATTTTAAGGCAAGCCACATGGTCACTGCAGACGATTATCAGTAGTGGGCTGCATCTTCGAGCCTGACGAATTTCTGCCTCATTGTATCCAGTGACTAAACGACCAATCACAGGTATCAGGTAGGATAACGTTTTTCCAGTTCGGATTCCTCCAATAATGAAGCAATCATCTCCACGACACAAATGTGGAAGGACTCCTTTCTGAAGAGAATTTAACTCTATTATGCTGAAATTCTTTATCCCGTCACGCATTAGGTCCACGTGTTCGAAATGATTAATCGATGACAAAGGGGACGACTTCATAAGGCCGCTGATGTACGCACGCCGAAAATATTTGTTGTTCAGCACAGCATAGTCCTCCTCAGGGAAGTTGGCGACATGTCGACTGACAAGGACGTTCTTACTCGAATCCCAGGGCTCAGAAGGACCTTTTCTACCTTTATCCCTATCCTCGTCCGAAGTGTCGATTAAGTCCAAGTAATTAAAATTTTCCAGCCCTGTAGGAACGTATCGCGATGATGACACAGCCATTACTTGGTGATACAATTTAATTGGTAAACTTTTAGTTATTTAAGGGTCTTCACGTTCACCCTTCGCTCTTAGTATAAAGCGGAAACGGGTTAATTTACATAAGCCAGACAAGAACCAATTTTTTAAGACATTACAAAATTAATTTACTGTAGCAAGCAGCGACTCGCATGTGACTTCTAATTCTAACCAATTCTAAATGAAGCAGCCACGTTTGAATGTAATCATAATTAAGTATACCACGAGGAGTCCGCCGCTAGGTGACGCCTATATCTTGTACATATTTCTTCCTGAAATTTCTTTCAATGCAAGAAATAAAGGGAGGAAATCTGAAATCTCACCCCTGTAAAGTATCCGTTGACGCACATGAGGTTTGGTTCATTAAATGTGACCCACTTCTTCACACGATCTCCATACGTGCTAAATGCAAGATGCGCAAAGTTCGTAAAATGGTGAATAACTTCATCAATTGGCCAACCTCCGATATCCATGAGTGGTTGGGGCAAGTCCCTAATTATCGGGCTTAGATTAGTTGACATGTTTTAACTACGCGAGAATTTTATTGCTAAATATTTGAGCATATGTAACTGTACCAATGATGAAGGGTAATTAACGGTTCGATATTATTCGCTATGAGGAGGTTAATCAGATCGTTGTAGTATCTGATTCCTGCCGGATTTATGTAATCGATCCGTCCCGTGGGAAGAATTCTGCTCCAGGATAAACTGAAGCGATAGACTCCAGCCTGATCAAATTAAACACTTTACAGAGGAAATATTTGTTAAATACGGTTATTTGCTTATATGTACATATACCCCGAAAAACTTGAGTAGCGCAACGTCTTCAGGATATTTGTGATACGAGTCGCAGGCGATATCTCCACTACTCCCATCATTAATTGGAGATGGGTTTCGATGAACGAATTCGTCCCAGATGCTTAATCCTTTACCTGGATGGAACAAAGATAGGAATTTGATCCTGTTAAAATTTAGATCTTAAAATTATGTAAATATATAAGCAGAGACGACTTCATCTTGTTCTGTTAGGACGTAAATGAATGGAGTTTTGCTAAATAGATACTTGAGACAAAAACGAACATGTTTAGCAAGTTGTGACCTATTCATGCACAATGAGCAAAATTTAATTTGCCTACCGTCTTCTTTCCAGGCTCCTTCGATCTGAAATTGCGCATATCTGTTAACATATGTCACCAAACTTTCAATTATTTTAATTTGTTAAATCTACCTGATAACTTGACGAGGCATATCCCCACTGAAAATCTGGGGGAAAAACGTCATACAGAAATGCGTCTTTCTCACCATTCGAGTGTGACACGAGATCCTGAAGGACGATCACAGTAGCAAAAGCAGCAATGAGTATCGACATCACACTTCCCTGTTTATGAGAAATCCGGTAGTTACACAGGTATTGATTTCTACGTATTAAACTTACTATCGCTTGACACTAAAATTTTACCTGCCCTTACAAATTTGCTACCGATATGGTAAAAACTTTAATATCGAGCTGTTACTACGCCGTATTGCTGATCAATACGACTTTCGTAGAATCATACATACGTACATGAATACCGCTTGGTATTAGTTTAACACTGGATTTCCAATTATGCAGATCCCACTTCAACGCAGTACATATGTAATTATCATAAATCGATTAAACCAAACCAAATTTTATTTATCCACAAGAAATTTGTGTACTGTCGGACCATATGTTATCCAAAAACATTAGTGTAACAAAACAATGCATCATTCACACGTGTACACGTACGCCGGAGTTATTTGATCCCAAACTGCTGTGAGGATGTATTTCTTAATTGTGTTTATGAGATTAATTTATGTAATTCTCATCAATGCATATTCATTTTACGTACATGGAATGCTTATAAATAAGCCATTTACCAATGGGACTCGCCATTGCGAAATTTACTCGATTTGTTCGTTAACACAATTGCGCACTTTCACTTCGTACTGAATTCGTACATATATTATCTCCCCCATAAAAATTACTAGTTCTAAAAATAACAGTACCAATATTAAAGTAAAAGGTACCCATAGTTTTGCTAAATCCATCGCTTCATCCACACCCTCCTGGTTTTCTGGAGTCCCAAAAACAATTTTCTGAAACTGCGTACTCCAATTTAACTCCGTTACGTTCATGTGTTTAACATTAACAGCCAAATTCAACTGGGCCCCAACTTTCTCTAGATTTTGTAAATGCGTAAAAATACCAGACTCCACAATCTGACCTAGTTTTCTAGAAAACAGGACGAAAAAAAAGTTCGCGTCAGTCAGCCAGACAAAATAGTTCGTGTAGAAAGTCGGGTCATTATTTTTTGCAGATTTAAACCCTCCGCTAAAAAAATTTAAGATATTCTCCAATTTCCATAATATTTCGTTTGAATCGATTACTGCAAAAACTTCTCCTACAACTAGTTCTTCCTCGCGAGAAAATTCAACTGAGCTCCGCACAAAGGTTGAATTCGCAAACTCAACTAGCGACACAATATCGGTGTCACAATGTTTTGTTTTTTCTTGTAGTTTTTCGAAAATGGAAAATTTTGGCGACCGAATTTCAGAAATTCGTAAAATATGTGCGATTATAAGCTTCTTTAGAATGGATTCGGATTTCTCATCTTTATCCGCGTTAAGCATTTCAGTAAATGTTATCGTTTGAATCGGATATCTGTCCCAATTTGCAAGTTCCCCCAAAGTGGAAGGAACTCTGAGCGGGATAGGGGCCGCAAGTGATGAAACCATGAAGCTCTTGTACACATTATTAACCACGACAAATCCCAGGAACCATGCACAGATTAATGCCCGCATTTCATAAAAGTTCATTTTACCCGGGAACGGTTGATCCAACACTGTTACGAACACGTTTAGTGAAATTTCCTTAAATTGGATGGTCCCATTCCTGTCAAATCTTTTGAACAATAACACAAGAAGAACCGTTCCCGACAGGATGAAGCACCAAATTGCGATATCATATGGTGAAATTAGCGCTAAATAATCCTCCCTACAAATTCTCCGCGCGTACGCTTGAAACTTAAAATGTAACGCTTTAGCTCCGATAAACACCCATAGATCCTTGTCGTCAATCAAGTATTTGTAAGAGGTATCGGCAAATAGCGTTATATAAGCGGCTCCCACCTGCCGTAAATTGTTTCGAGTAATTGTGTAATTCAAACGTACACTGAAAATCTTTAGCATGACGTCTTGCACTCTTAAAGGATTGAATCGTGTCTTATAAAAATCGAAACCAGAATCCAAAAGCTTTTCCGCGTATTTTCTCATATTGTGAGAAACGTAAAATAGGTTGAGATTGTCGTGCAATTTAAACCATACTTGTCCATGTCCTTCCTGTTGCACATGATTGATGAAAGTCGTATTGGACTTAGGAAATCTGACGCGAATCTCTTAACTCGCTGGCAAGTATGACAATAGAAATAAATTTTAAAATTAGTGGAATCTTGTAATATTATTTTAGCCGTTGTGAGAACGTGATGAAAAGCAGTAACGAATTTGATCCAATTCTGCGTTATTTCTTGGGCGAGTTGGATATCTTTTAAGACGAAGCAGTCTGGATCTTTCGTTCTAGTCGTGGTTAGCAAGATAACAGAATCCAAATAAAACTCTTTTTGCTCTTCGACTCGAGCACTTGATAAGTCAAGGTGTAGAACGAGGCAGGGAATTTTTACCGAATACAAATTTCTCTCCGTGCGAAAATGGGTGCCATTATGCAAGAAAATTTTTAATGCTCGCGGGATTTTATAAGTGTCTACATTTTTCTCATCGATTTGGTTAAGGATGACGGGTGAACTTAGCGTTTTCTCGTGCAACTTGCCCTTATTTCCCTTGAATGCTAGTGATGCATATTGTTTGTTAAGATTGACCATGTGAAAATTGCACTGTTGCAAAACTTGGGAAAATAAGATTTCACTAGGTAGAATTTAGGATGAAATGGTTTGTCGAATTTTGGGCTGAATGGAAATTAATGTCCACAAAGTTTATATGTAAATTTTTTGCATTTTGTACGAATTGAACTATGTATAAATAGTTGACGTTTATAAGACTCTTTACCTGGTTAGAGTCCTCACTCCGAAGCCTTGCTCTTAGATACTTATCTGTGGCCTTTTTACTCTGAAGGGGACCTATTGTCACGTACACTGAAATTTAGCGTAACACGTAAGCGGAAATTTGGCCCAAGTTAGTTCTCTTTCTTAGAACAGGATTATGCATAATTTACGGAGTATAATTCCGTACGTAGTGTAACTGACACGAGAAAATAATTATAGTGCATGAAATAAATAAACATACATATTCATGCAAATATAAATATATGTAAATACATAACTAATATAAATGGACATGAACATTTTTTCATGGTTTTTTGTACGAAGACCAGGGTGCACATTGATCAATTAAAAAAAATATTTAGGAAGAATTCTTGATTACCGGCATCATGAATGTACATATGTATGAATAGTATGCACAAATCAGAAAAAACTGTATTGTTTTTTAAATGGTACCAAGCTTTCGATCTCGACTGCAATCGTCACCAGGACAGAAAATAATAAATTTTGGTCAGGATATGACATTAGAGTTTTAAAATAAATAGTTAAAATTTAATGGAAATGGAACGAAGTCATTTTTTAATGTTGATCACATTCAAGTTTTTCAGAAAATGTACGACCCTTCATTAGGAGAGTAAATTTACAGAAATTAGCAGTTAATAATAATATGCACAGAAAACAATAATGCCAATCCAGGCTCGGTTTAAATAACAAACTTTCTCAAACAAAGATATCGATTAAGACTTAACTTACAAATTGTGTCCATGTTAATTATTTCTTTAACGTAGCGTCACATCAAAATTAAATGGTAAATGAGGTGAAACCAAAGGTCCAGCGGGGATATACACCGGCTCGGAGTCATTCCTCAAATGAAATTTGAACTGCTTTAAAACAAAAGCGGACAGGAGGACCATGGTGTCGTTTGAGAATCGCTGTCCTATACAATTTCTTGGCCCATGCCCAAACGATGTCAAGGCATAAGGGTGCAATTTACCCTTATTTTCTGGCATAAATCGTTCCGGATCGAACTTCTCCGGGTTCGGAAAATACTTGGGGTTTCGATTTGCCGCCCAAATGGGAATAATCATGGTCATCCCTTTCTTAATTTTAAGACCAAACTCCTCATTTTCCCAGTCTTTCGTACAAACTCGTTCCGTTCTGCTAAAAAATGGGACAAGGCGAACCGTTTCAGTAATACAGGCGAAGAGGTACTGCAGCTCGGAAATATTTGCATATTCAATTTTTCCCTTGTGCTTCTCGAGGAATTGGTCCAATTCTTGGTAGACTTTGGCTTCCACGTCCGGATTTTTTAAAATGTTGTTAATCATGCACGCAGATATTGAACTTAATTGGTCTTGTCCAGCAAGGAAAAATACGAGAGCTTGGCAGACTATGGTGCGTTCAGTAATGTTCAGCCGCTTATACTCTGGAGTGTCTAACTTGCCCATTTGTTCCAAACAAAGGTCGATAACATCCCGCTTATTTTCGCCGCTTTTCTTTCTTGTATTCTAAAAAAATAAAATTGTGCAAAATTTAGTCAAGGTTGGCTAACATATTTAGAGGATGACGCAACAATTGGGTTAAAGTTGTCCAACGTTGTGTACATATGTATGTATGTAAAATTTATCTACACTCTTCAGAAATTTTACCGACCAGTGATATGTGATTTCACCAAATGGTGATAAATACATATGTATGTATGTCATTGCTCGTTATAGCTGAGTCACCACATGAAAACAACTCACCACTAGTCGGTAACAATCTATTACCAAGCGGAAGCATACTATCACTGAAATTATTTTAAAAAACCTGATCACAGGAGAAGTAATTTTTGTCAGCGTTTTTCTAAGAGTGCAACCAAATTTGTTAAATGGTTGGATAAATTTTACCCAATTGTTGTGTCATTCTCGATTTTACTCAAAATTTTAGATAATTTTATTTTAAAGTGTTCTACATATTTACCATCATTTCCAAGAATATTGCCCCCAAGTCATTCGACAGCTTAACGTTAAACATTCCAGGTGCTATCTTTTGCAAGAGTGGAAATGAGTCTGTTAAGTGGGTAAAAAATAAAAATATATTGCTTCAGTAATCTCCGGACCAATTGAATTGTTAAATAATCCACATACATATCAATACTTCTAACTTTGGATAACCCGTATTTTCTGGATTTAAGAAACCTCGCACAATACTCATAAAGACATTTTGAGGATCACTCGGGTTTTCGATTTGAATAGAGAAGAAACATCGCGAAATCAACTCAATTAACATGGAAAAATACTCGCTGTAAAGGTATTAATTGCAGAATTAAGTCACCATCAAAGTTTGTTATTTTACTATAAGTAAATAATTACCCGTGTAAATTGAACTTTTCCATTTTCTGTCCCGGACTACTTACAACTCCAGACTTTAAATTGTCACAAAATCCTTGCAACGTGACCACTACGGATTCCGTCATCAGTCTGAGTTTTGCTGATGAGAACGCAGGTGTAAGAAAGGTGCGAACTGCCTTCCATTTTTCATCTGCAATTGAAATTATTGGATTTCATGGAGTGCGAAAAAATTTGCACATATGCGAAAATACATATTTATATGCTTGTTGTATCATGTTGTAATATGTATGTACATGTTAGAAAATCTGGCATTTCATTGAGCAATGGGTCTCGAAAGTCCATGCGTCTTTTATCATTGAAATATTCTGCATCCTTCGTGGTCACAAGTCGAATCAGTTCGGCGTCGCAAATGTGAATTTGAGGTTGTCTCCCTTCATAAACCTTTGGACAAATAAAATTAATCCACATTCATAAATTTAAACACTTTGTAAGAGTACGAGGAAATAATTCAGTGTGCTTCTTACTCCGTAAATGGGTCCGAATTTATTGAACCGTTCAATGTCCAAAGTTCCAACGACCTTGCTGTAGGCGTCAATGGTGTTCCCAAAAATTAAGAAGGGCTTGCCAACCATTGGAATCCCTAGTTTTTCAAGGGTGCCATAGTTCCAGCGAGCATAGATCACCAATCCTACCAGGACTGTGATCAGAATAAACGCCAATAAAAATGCCACCATTTTTCTACGAGTACTTATTTATTCACACTTGATCTACTTATTCACCGAAGGAGCTATAGATAATTACTTATTACTTTTAAGTATGTATGTGTGCCAGGCTCACATTCTACTTAACGACTGCCAGACAAGCATCAATCGCTTGCCTTTTTATATGAAATCCTGTAATGCACGCGCAAACCATCTCACTCATCTGCGACCATGTGCTTGGCATGAAGTAATTACTTAGATTGTCACGCTCACTTAATAATCAGTTATTCTTACTCACCTGCATGATATGGAGAGGATTATATGCATAAATGCGTACATTACATTTACATACATACATAACAACGGGTTCTATTTCGAATTTAGAACCTTAAATTGCCTTGTTCAAATTGCATATCGAGAATTGTATTTCTCTTCATCATACATATGTTTTGAAATCGTTTTGCAATTAAAAGGAAATGCAACTGAATAAAATTCATTTTATTGACAGGTCAACTGGCAGTTTTGGTGTATTGGACTCAAATACATCAGATCTGCCAGTCGACCTATGATGACTGTACTTACTTGTACATTGTATGGCATGTACATATATATCCAAATATGTATGCTTTTTATGCTACTGCCGACTGCCTTTGAGAGTGAACAACACGATCAAGTGAGACGCCAGTTGAGTGATGATCTGCAGTATCTCAAGGTTGCTTTAACAACATAAATGATGAGTTATCCAACACGGTACTGTATCAACAACTTCTTGTTATAACAAGGTATTTATATCAGAGATATGTATGTATATACAATGTTAGCGAATCTGATTTCTACTGCGGAGATGAAAATCTTATCGTACATACATACATAACACTGGTCTGTGTGAGTGAATGAAATGTACATGGTTGTTTAAGTGTCAAGCTAACGCTACAATGGAAAATTTTTCCATGGTGAAAGCCCATAAATCTTAATTGGATAGTTGCAAGAATTGGGATTGGAATTTTAATTAATTATTATTAATGGAACACTGATGACCAAATTCTTAAAATGTTGAAGTTCAAATAAAGATTTCTGTAACTGATGGGAATTTATGAATTTTTCATATTAAAAATTTTCTATTTAAGCGTGACATATATAAATGTGAAAATATCTAGATGGATTGGATTCAAATCTATGAAGACTCTGAAGGTGCTAGAAAGAAATGTTGACTATGTAGAATAGGCATACACTCTTATGTACTTGATAAGCCGGTGTTAATCGCCATCAAGGTTAATCGATGGGGAGTGATTATTTTACAGGTCGATAAACAGGTCGATACAAATATTAATTTTATCTTTGCTCATTTTTATTCAGCATGTGTATATTTAGTAATAATGAATATGTATAAATGACAGTAAGTATGTTGCACTGTATTCCACCCAAAAGATATGACAACAATTTGGAAGTGAACTTTGATTATTTTTTATGTTAAGTAATATTTATGGACGTAGATATGTACATATGTACATTAGGCGTAAATTGTAGTCGGCATCGTTAGATTTCTAAATAGAAGAATTGGCAAGTTTGGAAGGCAAAGGATACACCCCGAAAGTCATGTTAAAAGACAGGATATTTAGAGAATTTGGAATGAAACTTATGTATTTCTGGCATGGGAATTTTGTATATGTCTGTATCATAGATCGGAGTACTCCGGCCTCCGGAGGCCGGAGTACGCAGCTTTTTCTGGAGGCCGGAGTACGCGGAGGCCGGAGTACACGTGGCCAGCCGGAGGCCGGAGTACGCGGAGGCCGGAGTACACGTGGCCAGCCGGAGGCCGGAGTACGCGGAGGCCGGAGTACACGTGGCCAGCCGGAGGCCGGAGTACGGAGGCCGGAGTACGCAAAATTTCCGATCGCATAGATAGGAGAATTCCGGGCTTGGAGTACGTACTCCGGCCTCCGGAGGCCGGAGTACGCGACTTTTTCTGGAGGCCGGAGTACGCGGAGGCCGGAGTACGCGTGGCCAGCCGGAGGCCGGAGTACGCGGAGGCCGGAGTACGCATGGCCGGCCGGAGGCCGGAGTACGCGGAGGCCGGAGGACGCAAAATATCCGATCTATGGTCTGTATGTTTATGTATCTGCATGGGTATGTATGCATTCTGAAGTGGTATGTATAATTATTACAAATATTTAATTACAAGTAAGCATAAAATCACAGTAGTTATAGTTAGTACATGATGTAAAACATAAAGTACGACATTTGTCTAGATAAAAAGATATTATGTATAAATATGTACATAAGTGAATAATAAAATAAAATAAAATTTACTATACAAATTTAGAAAATGTTCATGTTTTGCATGGACTCTTCCAATTGTGAAGTCCGACAGGATTTGGGGCTTGTTTCATCAGATGTGGCTACCAAAATAAATATGAAGTTGTTAAAAAAGATAAAAGAAAACCTCTGCGGATTTTAAGTGATCAATTTTCCAAAAAGCCTCTTTCTTACCAGAATCGTTCAGGAACCACAAGTCGAATTGATAACTTGACCTAGACTCTTGCGATGCACGACGGATCTCGAACATGCCACGTGGAAATAAGTAAACGTTTCCGACCTAACAAGCAACCCAGAAATGTCATAAAGTGTTAATTTGTATTTAAAATTTCGCTACGAAATCATTTATTTCATTTAGATTTGATCAATTTAATATTTAAATATGTACCTGCTGGTAAAGATTTTTTGCCACGTGGTAAAAATTCCCGGTCGCAATGGCCACCATAATTGTCTCCCCGTCGTCCTGGGTCAGCATAAGGCGCAGGTACGGCGTCGGTCGAGCAGATTGCAAAACTCCCTCCTCCATGCAACAAACTTCAGCGAGGAAGGTGGAGCTGAAGTAAGAATTATAAATGTACTAATTAGTATTTAGCTAAAACATACTAAATTTGTCTATAATTAAATATTCCAGATTAAAAAGTGCGATATATTCAATGAAAATAATTAAAAGTACTCACTCTAAACGTCCAACATAATTTGCTTGGTGAAAGGTGAAAATATTTTCCATTTTAGAAAAGTTAATTTATTCACTAGCTTGTGATTTGACAAGTTATTATTAATCTGGTTGTGAATATTTAAGTTTTTTAAACTGCTGCTTGATTTACACAAATTTACTTAAATTACGTAAAAGTGACTTTAAGCAATGTGGAAAATTATGAGATGTTAAAAGTGCAGAATGCAGAGTGGTAATGAGAACTGAAGTCGAGAAACATTCGCATTATGAAAGGATTGACCAGTGGTGAAGGATTGAAATTCGACGCTGGAAATAAAATTCCTGGAAATATTCACCTCTCTCTTTTGTGTTGGTGAGTGATTGTGCCATGCAACTTTGCAACGAACGAGTAACCTGGAATAAAAATAAACGTAGCATTTTTCCACTACTTTTCTACTACTTGTACTTCGGATTAGAAAATTTGTTGTAAAACTATTACTAAAAATATATTATAGAATAGTGAATATTTATTTATTTGCAAAATACGTATGTTGCATTTTAAACGCATTTGTACATATTTTGGAAGTACTGTATGTACATACATAGATATTTTGGCCATCCTTGGCCATAATCTACATACATAAACAGTAATTTAAAACATAGTTATGTAGATATTTGTCATGCGAAATGATGGGCCGATGTCTTTATGTTGATGGGACTAGAGTTAGTTAAGTTAGAATTATCGGATCGTATGGATGACATTTTTGAAGTTATTTATTCACGAGCTTTCAGGGTTCAACTGCCCCCTTCTTCAGGTGTAAAAGTGTACAGGAAAAGATTTATAATTTCATGGAAGATAATATTTTCAAAATTAGATGAAGTTGTTGACATCAATGAGGTCGCTGGGTAACCGGGATAGTATTTGGGCGTATAAGCGTTGGCGCTAGGGGCAGGAGTAGCGATGTCCAGATTGGGTTTATTTCCATACCTAGATCTCGAGTTATTTATGTATGTGTGTACGCATGTACATACTATCAACTATGTATGTATTTACATAAATAAATGTGAACATACATATTGGGAACATTGTACTTAATCATCAAGGTATTCCTACCCAGGGTTTTATTGGGTTGGGTGTTTTAGGGTTTTAATCGGTTTTAATCAGTTGCAAATAAATAAAATAACTTGGGTTTTACCATGTTAAATGGGTTTTATTGTGTTTTGCACCAGGATTTTGCCTTAAAACTGCATTCTAAAAGTTGCAAACACCTCTCATGCGTTAGAGGAAGTTGTTTCACTGGAGCTAATCTGTTCATTTCATTTATATCGTAATTTTTGAAAACTAAGAAAAAATTAAATGCGAACAACATCTCTCATCATCCAGTGCTACAAAAAAATAATTTCAGAACTGATATAATTTCTAATAAGGACAAGAAGGATTTGCATATGAGTAGAAATTTTCAATAGTTGCAGGATTTTTATGTTGAGTTTATTACCTAAAACCTATTAAAACCCAATAAAACCCTTTAAAACCCGTGGGTTGTTATTTTTTGATTAAAACCCTGGAATCAATAATCATGTACATACATATGCCGAACAAGAAATTCTCTTAACGTCACAACTTGGCATTGTTATTTAATAATGCAAAATTACTTATGCATGATTTGTTCATATTGATAACACATCTTGAGTTGATGCAAACCTATTTATTTATATTTTTCTACTACGAAATATAATGATTGACGAGCCCTTTTAACTTTAATTATTTGCCTGACATAAACTGTTCCGAATTATTTAGTAAGGGTCAGTGAGGATGTTGAAACTCGGGTCGCGTCTCTGATAATCTTCCGTTCCTGGAATTGGCAGGAATTTCGATCGGCTAGCTTGGGCAGTTGGAATCTCGTCAGCATAGTCCGGGTAGACAGGGCATGGTCTTGGCTTCGGGAGGATGGGGTAAAGGCATGGACATTCTTCGTCAAGGACGACAGGTGCTCCCATCCTAATTATAAATTAAGTTGTTAAGTAATTAAGAAAATAATATAATTTTAATTGCTGATCTTCATTTCGACCAAATTCGTCATATGACACTATTCGAAACATGTCCATACCATGTGTTTAAAAAATTCAGATTTCGCAAAATTTCTCAAAACTAATCTTTGATGTTTTGTATAAACTTGATCATAAGGAGATGATTTTTTTTTTACATATTTTTCTTCTCAAATTTTGGAATTTCTAGTAACTCAAAGAATCTTAACAAACAGATTTTTCTGTGTTTATCGTAAAAAACTCAGAAAATTGGGAACTAGTTGAAAAAATATTTCGTCTTTTGTAGCAAACAATGAAAACGTTAATTGCTTGCTATCAGTAATAATTATGGAATTGATTAATATCGTACTCAAGGGAGAATTTTATGGTCACAATGAGGGTACTGACTGAAAAAAATCATTACCATGAGACACGCGTGGCTTTGTGGTCTTCTTGATCCAACGTGGTCAAGGGATGCACGAGGACAGATAGATTCCCGTGGTTCTGCGTATGGAAGGAATGCGCGACGGCGAAGGATGTCTTATTGCAGCAGAGTTCAAACTGAGAAACGGGGTGTGGTCCTTTTCGAAAATTAAGAAAAAATTATATTTTTAAAGCGTCTGAAATTACAATATCAAAATTCAGCTTATTTACCATCCCATCCAATAGCCCAATCGTTTAGGGAGCATTCTGGGAACGTTCCGTCATTGATTTTCGCTCTCAATGCCTTTCTGCAAATATAAAAAAATAATACAATATTTTCGCCAAATTGTTACTAAACGTTGGTTCATACTTCACTCCTTCTCAACTTGCGCCAATGTTACAATTCATCTATGTCGCAAGTTATCATGGAGTAAGATACAAACGCACATTAACAAACAAATTATAAATATTTACCTGAAGGCGGTAACTTCAGCCGAAATGCGGGGATTGACTTCGAAAAAGTAGGTCTACAAAATCATAAAATTCTTATTTTTGGCCTCAGAAATTTATAAATTTATAAATTTACTAAATACTTACATGGAAATGCCACGCCTCAATCTCACTGTCGAACCACTCGTCCTGAGCAGAGCTGACCACGACGCAACCCAAAAGGGCGAGAGAGATGATTACCAATTTAGCCACCATTTCGACTTTTTTCTTCTAAGCAGTCAGACAACTGATGAATCGGATACCTCATCGAATCCCTTTTTATACCTAAAGATAAGTCAAGTAGGATGACGTCTTAATGAACTTCGCATGTTCGAGTGATGCTTGAAAACCACGTCGTAATAAACTGATGACATTTCAGGCGAGATAAAATCATGCCTTGTGAGCACTTGAAGTACAACTTATGTGGAGTTTCCATATCCGCGACGTAATTAATTAATTTTTGGCGATGAATTCATCCTCACCTTTGGAATTTTATTGTGATAACATGTCATCAATTTGTGACGGGTTCAAGTGAGGTGAAAACAAATTAGTGTGCTGGTTGTCAAGAATTGATTGGACTTTTATCGATCATCCACTCCACAAGTTTTTGATTAGGTGATACATTACTTACATAATTGCTTATTCGGCACTTTATTATATAACTGGGCAGAAAATGAAATAACCAATAATCAGTCATCAGCGTGGTTGATGAGCGATTGTACTTAATTGTGATATTCGCATATATGAAATTTATATGATATTTTTGATATAAAGACTGTACAGATCAGACTCTAAATATACTCGTGAATATCCAAATTTTGGCTAGCTTACAATATGATGACGCCAAGAGTCTCGTTGGCGTCATGAATATTGTGAAATATTGTGAAAATATTGTGAAAATCAAGATAACTATGTAGTCTTACATAAATAATTAACCACATATTTCAGAATTTTTCATAATGCTCAGTTTAAACGAAATTATGATGGAATTCGGACGCGAGAATTTTCATTTTTCTCATATTTTGTAGTATAATATTACGCACCAAAATTTTAAAATTTTACTAGAAAATAATATAGTATAAATATATGAATGAATATCAAAAGCTTGCAGTAACAAACTCACTTTTTAAATGCAATGCCCTCAAACTTTAGCCTTGGATTTTTTTACTTCCAACGTTAAAGCGGTTCATTTTATGAATGATAAACATATCGTGCGTCAAGTGCCGTTTTTATCATTTTGTTTTCGTTAAGAAAATAACTTCAATTTCACTCTAAATAAAAATATGTAAAATCTAAACAAGGTTGAGTAAAAAAAAGGGATGACACAACAATTGGGTAACATTTATCCAACCGTTGTGGAAAACTTGGCAAATTGTTAAAAAACTTTTGTACACCTGTTGTGTCATCCTCTTTTTTATTCAAAATTCTGTACATTTCACTTTTATTTATTGAGAGTGTTCTTCAAGTTTAAAATGTGGTAAGAACAATAGATTATGTAATAACATAAAACAAGGAAAACAATGAAATATTTAAATGCTAACATAATTAACATGGTATTATGCACGTCAATCCATTATAATTTTCTAGACATTATTTCGAACCAATTGAGGTAGGACAGCTTCATAATTTCATACAATTCAGTGTTTCTACTTTACATCTCAAAATGGATAATCTTACAAGATCCGTTACACATCTCTTCAAACTGATGGAAATTCATACTCCAAACATTGTTATTTCGAATTTAGTCGATTTGATCTCTGCAATTACAACTTTATTGTCAATAATTAATCATGCCAAAGACATGACGCATCCGAATCCGCTCCCATTGATATCCACGCATACCTATGACTTCATCATTGGTAATAGTTAAATCACAAGTTAACGCCTTCAGTACGTGTGATTTTTTAGATAAAATTTCTCCTGATTTCTTAAATATAACTGATAGCAACCAATTAAAATTTTCATGAATTCCTTTAAAAGACGAATATTTATAACAAGTTTTTAGCTTTTGAGCTTTTTTGACGAAAACCACAAAAAAATCATTTTTTTAACATTGGTTGGTATAAGAAAAATTTAAAAATTTAGGGAGAAAAATGTCAAAAGAAGGCCCATTTTTGCCCTCGAGTTTTCCAAAAGAAATGCCAAAAATACTCTAGTTTTTGAGCAATTTATGTGTCAAAGTAATTTATCCAGTACACAATACTTCTTCGTGTATTTCGCTCTCCACGGAATATAATATGCTACACAAAAGTCTGTACTTTACCGTTAATAGGTTAATGTGTAAATAATATAAGATGTTCGTATAATTTCCAAATCGGGGCCGGTAGTGCAGGGGCCGTTCTGGCAAATCGATTATCAGCTAGTTCGAAGGTGAATTAATCAGGAGAAAAAAATACGTTAAAAAATTAAAAATTCGTAAATTATGTATTTATTCCCTGCTCCTTAGTCCTACTCCTTGAAGCTGGTGGTGACCCGACAGCCCTTCATTCAATTCCTGCAATGGCAACGTACAACCTGCATCATCGCGAAACGGATTGGATGATTCCATCGAAATCAACTAATACTTCATGTCTTGCGTGCATTAATCACGTAAACTACCCTACTCGCCAAGATTATCGGGCCGAAGAATATTCTAGAGTGGCAAGGGTGGTCAATGGTAGGCCGACTTTGCCAACCATTCCCCACTTGAATAATTTAAAAATTCGGTACCCCAAGAAACTACATATCCTCACCCCGAAAGTGGGAAAACGTTGGCAAAAGCATATTTAAAATGCATTTAATAATAAATGTCGGCACGAAGTCGGGCCTTTAGTGGCCAATTATTCCATGCGACGCCACCTATCGTCCGCAGCGTAGAATACAAACTTAAATCGATTTTCAGCACGAGATTCTGGCAGCATGGCTAAAATCACTCTTCCCCCGAAAGATAAATTCGCAGTTGTCGAATTTATTAAGGATGATAATTCTGTATCTATTGTGTCTACAAATTGGTTCATTGACACATCAATAGTCCACTGGCCATCATCACCCAACGTCACATCTATGGTTAAAAAACACAAGGCACGGGAAGAAAATTGGGGTCGACATTCTTGCAAAATTTTGAAAGTTAAAGGTAACTAGATAAATCAATAATTAGTTCAAATATTTGTGCACATTACATAATTACTTTTTTGCTTATTCTAGATACTTTTGAGGATGCGATTATCGTACTTCGATTAGCCGAAAAGTCAAACCAGTCAACATTTGAAACTACTGTGGATGATGAGGAAAGTCATCTTCCTAGACGACGGAAGCGAAATAAGCCAAAGAAGAAGAAAAAATCGTCAACATCTTCATCGTCACCATGCAAGGATTCAGTAGACGGGAGTGATATCGAGGTTCCCACGAAATCATTTACTCTACCCCCCACTTCCAAATCAAAACCAGACGTACTAAATTATTCAAGTGATTCCGAGCACAACCAACCTCCTAGCGTTTGTGCTGGTAAATACTTAATATAAAATTCATATTTTTAATTGCCGGTTATTATTTTACTTATTTGGTGATACGTTTAATTTTATAATTTTAGTGGGTCCAAATAATAGCCCTATCACATCTGGCCCAAAATTAGTTCTGGTTGATCCTGTAGCACTGACTTCAAAACCTGATGAAAGTGATTCTTCTCGAAGTGTTAGCAATCTACCTGGATACATTGGGACGGCAGTTGGCAGAAATATTACTCGTAAAAATTTAAACCCATTTAAACATTTTACATGTTTACACTTTTTGTACAATTTTATTGTGTAACTTGCATACATTTATACACAGAATTTGAGAAAATTGTCCTTGAACGGTTGACTAAATTGGAGCAACTCGTCACAGAACTTCTACGACGATCTGGCGGAATTAACATATCAATTCCTTCAAAAATAAAACTGCACAAATTACCTGTGGAGACGGTGGACGAGTTTCAGTCACTCAATGCATGGATAAAGGCGGTGCCAGAGAATCGTGATTGTTTGGTTAGGGTTCAAGATTAAATAAATTATTAAATTATTTAAACCGAACGTCATATATTTATATATATTCACTTTTCAGGTCACCGAGTTGTCTTTAATGGGTGCAAATAGACTGTCCGGTGTCGTTAGCAAAATTTTAGGTAAGGTTTTTGCAAATAATCTTGCGAAAATCACTACTATTACCGGAGCAGGGAAAGATATTGAAGTTGCTTTAAAGGATGCGCCAATTTACCAAGTTATAAGAGGTAAAATAGACAAGTTCAAAACAAGTTAATACAGATTGAGGTGTATTTAAAGATTTGTTTACTTTAGAATCGATGAGGTTAACTAAGGGCTACAGTTCATCGACGGACCACGAAATTGGAAATTCCGTTGCCGTTTGGTTGAAAGGTGCTGACGATAGAGACGGCGGACGAGAAGTGAGACGAAAAAATGCTCACGTCAAATCGAACAAAAAGAAGACGACGAAAGGAGGAAGTAACATCTCTTCTCCATAATATCGATTGTTCCACTGCATCAACAATTCCAATGTCCACATCGTATCTGAAAGGCGAATCAGTGTTAGAATCTCCTATAGTTGGTTTTGGATCTAATAATTTAGAACAGTCACCGAGATCAGAGAGTAACAGTTTTAGCTTTACCAGTTCTGATAATCAAAATGACTCCCTCAATTTAGAGCAGCCAGTATTTTCTCAAAAGATTAGGGAATGGGCTTTGTCTCATAATATTACGCATGTCGCCTTAAAGGACCTTTTACATATATTAACTGAAAATTCCAACTTAGATGTACCCCTTGACCCTCGCACATTATTAGAAACTCCTCGAGTAGTTAAAACTCTTTTTATTTCTGGTGGGGAGTTTGTATACTTTGGAATAGAAAATAATTTGAGAAGATTAATTACAAATTTTGCTGAAATTGTGCAGCCAAAGTCGACAATATTTATCAAATTATTTCAAAGTTTTGGTGATAATCTGGTAACAATATGTGTAGGTGTTGATGGAGTTCCATTGAGCAGAAGCCCAAGGTCACAATTTTGGCCAATACTTGGTAAAATTGATCAACTAAAAAATCATTCAGTTTTTGTAATAGGTCTTTTTTATGGCGTCCAAAAGCCGCTTAATTTAGATTTTCTAAATGATTTTGTAAACGAAGCAATAATATTAGAGAAAGATGGGCTAAATCATTTAGGTAAAAAATTTCATTTTAGAGTTTCAAGTATTATTGCGGATGCTCCAGCTAGGAGTTTTATTAAAGGAATTAAAAATCAC